AAGGGCTATTTCTTTACTTTGAATAGTTGAGGATGTAAGATATATGGTATTTGAGTTCAAGGGGTAATTCGGACGACCACAAATCCGCAATTGTTAGGGGAGATTCAGACAACCACAATAGTTTAGGGGTAATTCATACTTTTATTTAATTTGAACTAGATTACAAACAAAACTATATAAGTTCCTATGGGCAAATGCACTAGTTTTTTCAAAGATATATATCTCTACTACTTAAAAGAGGGAGTCCTCCACATCCACCTAAATCTCTTTCCACCCATAAAAACCGCCCAAAAAAATTTAAACTGATTTATCAAAAAACCAACCATTGTAAAAAAAAATCCCACTTAGTCTAAATCCTCCCACTAAACTAAATAAAGAAATCGTTACAACACGTGGGCCTATATATAACTAGTACCTCTAAAAATGGCAGCGAGTTCTCACTTTTAATTAAGAAGTAAAGAACTAACCTTGATTATGGAGAAAATCGGGTCCAAAAATTTTACAACTGTATGGTTCATCGAGGAAAAAAAAACCATGTGAAGAGAAAAAAAAACAAAAGGTTGTGACGGCACAAATACCGAGATCCATCATAAGCCATTGGTTCTAATCTTATCACTAGGTAATGATCAAGCGGCTCGGACCTCCTATGAAGATCAGTATCAACAGCCAAACACCCAAAGCATGGAGCATGATCTTTGATGCAAAGCCGGCCTTCAAAGAGGATACAACATCCTTATTATAATATACAAATGCTTGTGATGTAGCAGGAGGTCACTACAACACATATCATGCATATGCATGATCTTGTTACAGCATACAAATTAACTGAATTGGAACTTACTATAATATGCACTAATTTATTTGGGAACCAAGATGCATGTAGTATTTAGTACATCAAACACAACATGTCTAATTGCATTGCACTGCATCAGCACAAAGCACCGTGCACAGCTAGTCGGTGCCCTTATCAGAATAATCTCATATGCATAGCAGACCATATCTAGAATCCGAGGAATTAATTTTCTGTGGGCCGACATGGACGGTAGTACATGCACATATTAATGCATCTCACTGCTAAGCTTGAACATTGATCAGGCAACAACAATATTCCATAAAGAAAAAGAGAAGCAGTTGAAAAACACATATATAGTTTACAAACTCGAGTGTACATGATCAGCACAAGCACTGGCTTGTTATTTTAGGTTGTGTCTGCAGGAGGTTGCAGGAACAGAAGGTATCTCGCAATAGTCAAATGCTATAGCAAAGCTATTGACAAAAAAAAAAAAGCTCTGCATTGATGCAACCAATCATGCATGTATGGACGATAGCATTGTGACAGGGAATCAAGCTTGATTCTAGCGCGTTTGTTGAACAAGTTTATCAGATCAAGGGTGAAGTTTACCACCAATAAAATACTAGTAGCTTATTGGCTAGATTGGACTGTATTGATGCTGACAATAGGAAAGATATCATACACACCCAGATGCAAAAATAGCAAATTAATTGTTTTGATCATGGAGCATATTACTATGTGTCGACATCGGCAGGAACATCTCAAGTTCTCAGCATATAAAGAATTAAGAGAAGAGGTTAGATTAGATACATGTATATACTAGGTCAAGGCCTATATATATGGCTCATATATAAATGTATTGGTTATTAGCTCCATATATATAGGGTGTCTTGCTTCTCCATAATTAGCTTCATCAATTAGACCTTAATTAACTGTTGTTAGGCTTTTATATATGTATATGTTCTTGATATGAGATTCAGACAATGTATACATATTTTTAAGCATATATATAGTGAATGAAGAAGTTTCATTTCAAAACCCCAATGGGGAAATTGATTATTGTTGAGTATACGAACTAGCTAAGAAAGCCAATCGATATTGTCTTGGAAAGCGAATGGAAAACACTGCTTTGACATCCCTGGATGCTACAACTGCAATGCTTGATTTGTTATTGTTGATCATCAACATATGCTCCTCGATGATGTACACATACTATGCAAATTGCTAGTGTTTGATTTGCTGCCTTAAAAGAAAACTCTCATGCATTCACAAATTAATTAATACTAGAAATATATAAGTAACATAGTACTTCATGGTACTTGCTTAAATACTGTAAAAAATACATAGTGGAAGGACACTGTTTGCAAGCACCACTAGAATTTTATTATGAATTTTATTTTTCTAATTAATTAGTCCATTTTATTGGATTTAGGACCTTTTCTCTTTTTAGTATACAAACGCTAACGTATGCTCATGTACGTACATGGATGCACACACTCTATAAATACGTACACATAATCCTACTTGTATGAGCACCTCCGAGAAACTTAACCAACATATTTTAATATTGACAAAGTCACCGCAGTCATCTCGCTATCAACAGGCACGTCGATCACCTGCCACTAAAACAATTAATAGCTACAGACATGAGCGTACTCATGTCAAATTTAGAACTTGAACTCTTATCTAGACGAGCAGGTTTCATCACAAGAAATCTAAGCAGCTGAGCTACGCTAAATTCGTGAATTTGTAACTTTTGTAGTATTACATTTTTTTTAAGTATCTTCCGTAACTAGCAAGTTTGGTAGCTGTAACTGTTGTTTAATGGCAATATGCAGGAGAATTGACCCAGGGCAAAGTGGTTTCCTTTCTTTTTCTTTTTTTGAGTTTCATAATATAGTCTGAAAGCATCCCATGCACTTTAGCTTTCTAGAATGTGTCAGGTAAACAAGACTTTGAAAAGATATATCTTGCTCCAACTTGTCCCAATGCAACTTCCATGATATCTTCTGAGTTAATTAGCTAGCTAGCCAAAAACGTAGCAAGGGGGACCATTTGGTTCCCATCAATTAACTAACATATGTGTGAATACACACTTTTTTTAATTAGGATGTAACACAGTGCATCAATGCTTTGTGTGGAGGTTTTGAAACAAACAACTCCCACTAGTTTTTGTTGGACCCTTTCCCAACCAAAAGAAGCAAGAACAAGATCAAAAGGGATCATCCAAACAGAAGTATCTCATTTAGTAATGCGATGCACATAGTGAGTGGGGAGAGAGGGAAAGGGGAATAAAGTGAAACAACTTGTTGAGGAGGAGATCAAGGCCCGGGGGATTATATTGAGAGGGCTTAAGTAATGATAGTTTTTGAAAGGAATTAAGTAATGATAGTTATGTGTACAACAAATTTTATTTTATGTTATATATACTCCCTCCGTACAGCTCGTAAAGGAAGTCGTTTTGGACAGCGACACGGTCTCCAAAACACAATTTTAACTTCTTGTTTCTATAAAAATATTTATTGAAAAGTGATATATGTATACTTTTATAAAAGTATTTTTCAAGACAAACCTATTCATATAACTTTTACATTTTCAAACTCAATAACTTGAGAGTTATTCATAATTTATATTCCCAATATTTGATTAAACATTGCCTAAATGACTTCCTTTACGAGTACGGAGGGAGTATATGTCTAAAGTTGCATTGTTGGTTTTATTCTTTTCGATTTTTTCATCGTGAGGCGCCTTCTAGAGTCATGACGGTATCACATATATGTAACTAGATATTATTGTATAACAACAACTTTTTCTCCCATTGCACCACTTATATTTGTTTGTAAGTGAACTAGCCTGCATCGATTGCAGAGTGTTATAAACCACATATCCAGAGTGTTATAAACCACATAGAAAACCCGCATGTATGGAGTTTATTAAAAATTTCAGCAAAGCCTCCATTGTCATTTTGAAATATCTTGTTTGTAGATCATAGGGAGGCTTTGTTAATTAAAATTGTTAATAACCTTTTTTTGGCTTAATTAGTAGTTTTTCATGTGGTTTTGTGGCACCTTATGTATATATGTGGATACCTACAATATTAAAAAAAAGCTTAAAGTGATGGATATTTATGACACAAAATAGCTCGAGCTCGAAGTTTCAGAACAAAATTCCCTCCCGCGAACCACTTACATACCCTCCATAGAGAATATCCTCCTTGCTAAATTTTGCCAATATCTGCAAGTCCAAAATTTCTGAAAGAATTCGACATTGTATTGCGGAATTTTGCCGGCACTGAGTTTTGCACTATTTTTCCGATAGGTTTGAAACCCTAGACACAGAACAAAATATAGATGGATCCACTGTTCGATTGAGTCAAGTGTAATACACTCAAGAATGAAATGAAAAGAAGAGGTAGGGTGCACCAGAAATCAAGCAACGGGCCGGCAATATACGTGCCCACACAATCCACTCATGACTATATCTATCTATCTATATGTATATGTAGCTCCATTATTCCATATGATCAATAGGGCCGAAAGGGAACAGCACCGAATGTGCAAGAGATGCTCCCCCATTACCCTAATCATCATTCATTCATGTATAGCTCATCCTACTAATCATTTCACACTAGTTTTCTTTCTTTCTCCTACATGCCTGATCACTATGTCTCTGTATCAACAATTTTCCGGGTTACCGGATCTATCTATGACGGGGTGTGGTATTTCGACTAATTCGCTTGATCGAACACAAAAATTCCACATTACTAATTTATTAAAGCCAATTCCATGGGACATAATAATTTAAATAAAATACTCCACACCCTTATAATCAAGCCGGATAAAGTTAATTTTTTAAAAAAAGAAAAAGAAAACAGTGTAAATAGCCGATAACCAGTTAACATTGGCATGTGGCCACGCGGCGGGGGGAATAGAATATGAACCCGGAAAAGCGCGTAACGCGAGATCCTACTACAGCCTAGCATAGGGCTTGGGCCGTGGTGGGTGGGCCCCACACTAAGAAAAAACGCATGGGCTGCCACCGGATCCGACGGCCCCGGTGCGGCGTGGCCCGGCGACCGGGGGATCCGCGTCGCCGCCGCCCGGGCCCCACCTGTCTCCGCCCCACCCGGCATCCTGCCCACCCCGACCTCCATCCATGGCGTTCTCTCTCTCTCTCCCCCCTAGCTATAAAACTTGCACTCCTCCAAACCCTACCCCCTCATCTCATCACAGCCAACGCATCGTCTTCCTTCTTCGTCGTCGATAGATCGGCTCTCGAGCTCACAACCACATCGATCGTCTCCGGCAAGCCGACGTACGTACGACTAGCTAGCTAGAGAGGAAGCGAGAAATGGAAGCCGCCGTGGGGTACGCCGCCGACAGCCTCATCAAGGCCACCGAGCTCAGGCTGGGCCTGCCTGGGACAGCCGACGACCTGCCCTCCACGCCCAGGGGCAAGAAGCGCGCCGCCGCGGCGGAGGACAACAACGCCAACGCCGCCGCCGCCGACGACGACGAGCACGACGCCGTCGAGGCCGCGCCGCCGGTAGCCAAGTGAGTAGCTAGCTTTTCCAGAGATCATCTTTGACTTTTACGATGAAGCTAGCTAGGGTTCTGAGTTCTGACATGGCGACTGCCTCCTCCTCCTCCCTGCAGGGCTCAAGTGGTCGGGTGGCCGCCGGTGAGGTCGTACAGGAAGAGCTGCTTCCAGCAACAGTCAGCGGCGGCGAGCAAGAGCAAGGCCGCCGTGAGCAGCTGCAACAACAAAGACGAGCCCATCACCAAGAACGCGGCGCCGGCGCCGGCAGCCTCCTCGGCGGCGGCGGCCAACGGCGGGTCGCTGGTGAAGGTGAGCATGGACGGGGCGCCGTACCTGAGGAAGATCGACCTGAGGATGTACAAGGGCTACAGGGAGCTCCGCGAGGCCCTGGAGGCCATGTTCGTCTGCTTCTCCGGCGCCGCCGACGGTGCCAACCCGTCGGAGTTCGCCATCACCTACCAGGACAAGGACGGCGACCTCATGCTCGTCGGCGACGTCCCTTTCGAGTAAGTTCTTCACAAACTTTTCATCTCAACAAATCTCTTAATTAATTAGTAATTTGCTTATATATATATTTGCAGTCAAACTGATTAAATTTGCTGTTTGATTTTGCAGCATGTTCACCAGCACATGCAAGAAGTTGAGGATCATGAAGAGATCTGAAGCCACAGGGCTAGGATCACCAAGGCAAATGAAGATCTAATCTAAGAGCGACAAGAGATCGATCGATGCATTCCATCAACTTTTCATTTCTTTTTATTTTTTTTCCTCCCAAGCCAAAAAGGAGATGAGCTTGGGGGCATCAAAGCAAACACATGGATGTGCTTCTGCTTTGTTTCCATCTTTAAAAACTAGTAGGTTTTAATTTTATGATTTTAGCAGCACAAAGGAGATGTGGAGATTTGGGTTCAACTCTCCATGTGTATGTACAAACGAAACAGTTATTATATATTGATTGTTGGTTACTACTACTATACTACTTCAAATCATTTCAACAAGAGGCCGGGAAAGATGAACTGGTTCTCGTTCCCTTGCCCTTGATTATTGTGTCTCCTAATTGTGGATTTTACTATCGCTTCAATGCTTTTGTACTATACATATCGGTTGTTATTAAGATTTGTGTACTATATTGTGGTTGATATGATTCACCGTTTATGAGTCCAAATAATTAAACTGATCATACAAAGGGAAAACGGGAAAAGAAAATTGCAACCGGAAGCTAAGCTTCGTAAGACTCAAGACATGCAGCTTAAATTAATTTCCTTTTTGTTTCCTTGCTTCACTTGTGTTAATTGAGAAGACACATATGTTTCACTTTGTATACGTAGCACACATGGACGATTAACTTTGCAATCAACTTCTTGCAATTGCATCTGAATCTTTGAGCTCAGTTTGTTAGAACAAATTGACTTGAACTAAAAAAGCCTTAACTAAGCAAATGATTAACTTTACTACGACGTTTCCAAAGAACAAAACTACTTAAGTACTACATATACCATGTGCTACAAGATTAGTTAAAGTTTAGTCATGCCTGATGATCACTGGATCCAATACCAATTCTGACCTAGACCAGTAAAGTCAGAGGGGGCAAAGAAATGGGGATAATTGATAGCTTAATTAGATGGGTCATCAAGACCGGTCAAGAAACTAAGCACAGCCCATGCAGAGCACTCAAGCCCCCTGTATTTCTGTTTGTTAACACATGCAATGGTCGAACTATGGGCGGACAGCATACATGTGGTGCACATGCATATGAGGGAGAGATCAAAAGCTGTATACAGAAGCATCCATCCATTGGCACCATATATATGAATATATATGATATGCATTATCAAATCACTCAATCAGTCAGTCAACTGATTGTTCATCAAGTCTTTTAATCCACACAACAAATTGATGACAAGTCATTTTCCTACAGGAAAATATAAATCAATGCATGCAAGGAAAAAGAAATTGAAGGTAGTACTATGCAATGCTAACCTCTTTCTTCAGCTCTGCCTTCCAGGATGCTGCTGCGGTGGTTTGGTTGCTGGAGCTCTTGGAACGGCAGCTCCATGTGCTGGTGGACATTAAACAAAAATGTTGTGTCCCTCTCCAGAGATTTTTTTTTTCTTTCCTCCTGTGAGATTTCTGATTTGATGTCAGGTTTCAACTAGAAGGGTATCAAAAGCGGTAGAGATGTATATCTCGATGGTTCAGCGTATGCCTTAGCAGTCAGATATACAATACACACGACAGCGCAGCAAGATATGGATATGCCATACGGATAAAAACAAGCAGGATCGTGTATCTGTTGTACCTGGATATGTGGTTTCATCTTAGGGAAGCATAAGAGCACTCGGGCAATGTGAAACAAAAGAGAGCTCATAGTTTTTTACAGGTCACAACTCATGGCAGATATGATGATGATTGCATTGTTGCACCATCTAAGCCAATGAGCATGCCAATGTAATTAAGTCACTTGTCAGTTGAGGCTCAGCTGATGCAAACACACCAAGTGATGTACACCGTTTCTCAGGCAAATTTAAGGGAAGGCCATCCGATTCTTTACTACATCTGCATTTGTCATTACTACTGACTACAACAGATGGCCGCACGCCTCTATGGTAAACTTCACGATTCTACCTATGTACAACAAAATTGAAGGAGCGCAGGTGCACTATCGCAGTAGTACATTTTCTATCTAATACATAGTGCTATGATAAATCGGTGAATGGGAGGTTTCCTTTCACATATGGGCTTCAGTGTCGGTGTCAGGTGTCATGAAGTCATCAGCATACATAAAGGCAACTGGTTTCCTATCATTGCCTTGAAGAGAACCCATTCTCGAGTCCAGAATTGCCAACTGGGAGATAACCCAATTTGGATTGTTCCTCCCATCAACCCACAATGCTTCACCGGTGTGTTTGTGCTTGAAGTCTGGATACCTCGGGTTCTTCTGTTCATACATGCACACCAATCAGTGAAAATGTAGCATAAGAGGGACATTGTAGCCATAAATAGTACGTATTCATTATTAAAACAAATCTCCAGAACATCTTGAAAAAGACATGTATTGAACCTGAATTATTGACCAAACAAATAAATGCACAAATAAGAACTGCAACCAACTTCCATGATAAAGCTTTGTGGAAGAAAGAGGGCATGGGATTTCACAACCTGATACAGCATGGTAACCCTTTTGCAAGTTATCGCGAGACAAATGCAAGAAAAGTAGCTTCATTTGGAGATTCTCCAGTAATAAATCAAACAAAGTAGTCCCTATTACTCCCATGGCAATATTTCATAAATCATAAATGGAGAGTGAAAAGGCAAAAGAGGGAGTATAATTCCTGGACAGATATTTAATGCAAAACAATAGTTGACTGTAAGAATGAATTCAAATTGGTCAGCCAATCTGGAAAGCAAAATTAAAAAGAGTTTAAAATAGTACTGAGGTCAGACCACCATACAGATATCAAAATTAAATTCAATAAAAAAATTAGGAGAAACACAAACAGCTAAATTCTGACAAACTAAATAAAGGAAAAACTAAGGATTGACAATTCACAGCAAACTCCTTTTGTTTCTCCTAATACAAAAATTTTTTACTTCACAATTCACTATAGATTATCCATCTACTTATTTTAGAATTTCTTTGTTCCACTAGTGCCCTGACCAAAAGTGGTTGGCATGGTTGCACTGAGGCATCTAGCTATTAATTAGTCTGCACTAGTTGTGCCACACAACTAAAAATACTTTCTTTGGAGGGAATAACAAAGAATACTTTGAAACTTATTCTGATGCAACAAGAGCATGTTCAGTTTTATGGTTTGAAGCAAACCCATGTATATGACAAGCAGGTTTTTCAAGTAACCTACAGCATATATGCTGGCTTGATGGAAAACCAGATAAATATTTCATTTATACTGAACTTGTTTATAAATTCAGGATTGGGTGGTTTCTACAATTTTACAAGACACTAGAAATAACCCCAAAAAACAATTGCATGACTCAAATAACAATATAGCCACATCGCTATGCTGACTATGTTGCAACTTCCTTTTTTTTTTATCCTTCATGATTACATTTGAGTATTTGACACCTTCAATGTTTCTGTTTTACAATGTTCAGCCAAACTCCATGAACCATTAATACTTCATATAGTAGTATTTTAATTATCTGAGAAGTTTTGGACTATTAGAAGTGCTCTCAAATCTTTGCAGCAGTACTTAGTAGGATATGACCCTCCTAAAAGGAGGTAGATGGTTTACCCAAGAACAGAAGCCATTAGTCCGTTTATCATGTAATATATATTACAAGATAATGCATTTGAATGTCTAAATGAACAATAAGAAGAAAGTTACCTTATTTGTCCTGTTATCCCACCAGTCAAAAGGATTAGCAAAGAAGGCTTGCCACAACTGTTCAGTTGAACGGGAGGATGAGTCAACATGGTCCCTACTTTTACCCTCACTCGAGCCAGAGGTAGAACCAACATAATCTCCATGCTTTCCACCTTGGTTATACAGAAAAGAGTTAACTTCTCTTCTATATTTCTTAAATCACTAAAGTATTAAACAGCTACATAGCAGCCAAATAAGTGAAGTAACTTGTATTTGAAGAACTTACATACAGAAAAGTAAGTAAGTTAACTTGTATTTTCCACCATACATTTTGTTCTGAGTTTCAGAAACCCAGTATAAGCAAGAGCTCCACTCAATCCCATCTTTAATGAAAAAAGTTGTAGAAAATTCCATATTAATTGACCATGTATCACACATTAGACCACACAGACAACCCACAATGCAATTATTCTCCATTAGGGTTGTGTGAGAACTAATGCTTATATGTGGGTTTTCTGAAACTTCCGCACAAAATATTTGGGAAAGGAAGTTTTATGCTATGCATTGCCAGAAATTCAGAATGCAACAAACCTTTCATTATTTTCAAGAGTATTCAAAGACTGAACTAAGGCCTGCAATGTTCTGTGCTATTTCTTTACTTTTAGGGAAAACAGATAACATTAATTGAAATATTATTTGTTTACATATGTGATAGTATGGCCTTCTGGAACTGGTATTCTTCAACTAGTTCACTACTCCATCACAAGAATTTGAAACCCGCCGTTTTATAATACACATGATAGTATCAAAGATGTTACAGGCTACATAACATCCATACCTAAGGTATCCAGGCCTGCCTCTGGCTCATATAACTGCACTTGCTGAAAGGACTCAATGAAATTGAACTGTTGAACCACAACCTGTGAAACATATGATTCTTCTTATAAAAGCATGGAAAGGAATCAAAATAACTCAAAGAAAGAAATATTACCAGAGATTATACCTTATAATAAACCTGTCGTTTCTCAGGGCCCTCATCAACAGTGTCCGACACAAGGCGTCCAGAAACAAATATTCGGTCACCCTTCTTCACATGCTCAGAAGCCACAACCGCTAGGTCATCCCAAAATGCTAGAGTCACCCTAAAGCATCACTACAATCATTAAGCACTCGGAAACAATTTATAGTAATAATGAAACTTGTAATAAAACCACAAATATTTAAGGTGTATGACTCTGAAACGACTGCTAAAGAACTAGTCTTACATAGCACGAAGGAGGTACAGCTCCAAACCTCCAACTCATGCTTAGTTGGCTAATTATTTTCAAGAGGCCACAACTCATTTGTTGACCAATGTGTTTCAAAATCTTGTGACGTTATTTACTCCTATATCCTTTAGACAGCTAACCAAACAGACAGAAAACCAATGCTAAATGGGACATCTATCTTAAACCTTTGCTGCTGCTCAAATAGAGTGCTCTTTTCAATAACTCAATTTCAATTATTCAAGTCATTGTAGATAACAATTTAGTTCAATTAATTCTTAGTAAAATTTCACCAAACGTGCAGCTAGCAACCATACACAGACTCTTGCACATTGTATAACAACAACCTATTTATAATGCAAAAAATCAAACCCCATTTAATTATGGAGAGTTGGGCAAAACAGATACAAAATCTTCCTCTTCTGCATATATCGCCAGAATGCCGAGTTCATTGGCCACATGCTACACTGGCGCACACGGCCCAACACGTTGCCGGCATCCAATCCAACGACAGAGAAACTGAAAAAACGAGACGCATAGATGGAACCGAGGCGAGCGCTACGGCATATCACGGGGCGATTACCATGTGGTCTCGGTGGCCGACTTCCAGATGGCGAGGCGCCCCCGCGCGACGGAGCCGCCGCTGGGCAGCTGCCGCAGCTCCACCTCGGTGCCCACCGTCCCGATGAGCCGAACGGAGTTGCAGAGCTCCCTGCTCCACGGGATCTCCGTCGGCCGCGGCGTCGTCGTCGTCGACGACGTCGACGCCGCTGCCGCCGCCGCCTCGCGGTACCCCGCGGAGCAGCGGAGGTGGCCGCCCCGCGGAAGGGGCAGCGGGAAGCGGAGGCGGGGGCGGCGGCCGCCGGAGCTCGGCGGGCTCAGGGTAGGGTTTAGGGTTTTGTGTGGCCCGACGGCGGCGGCGGCGAGGAGAACCATGGCTAGATTTTTCGGGCGTTTGGATTTCTCCCTCTTTCACCCACTGGCCTGGGAGAGTGAAGCGGATATAGCACGTGAGTTTATTTTCCAAGCTGCGGTGACTGACAATGTGGGGCCCACGTAAATGGCACTTTCACAAATTCGTTCACCTGAATTCAGAGCTCCTCCAAACTGCTCGACTTGTATTGGATTTTGAACAAAATTTACCGAAATTCGTCATTTCGTTGAGGCTTGCATTTCAATAATAAAAAAAACAGTAAAAAAAAATCCGAGCTTATGCTCTTGTTTCCCCTTTTCTGCGCATTTTTTTCTTATCCCTTTCTTCTTAGTACATTCCAAACTAAGGAACTGTTTGTTTCAGCTTAAAAGGTTTTAAATTTTAAGGTTTGGTTTTTAGGAATAACTCTATGTACATTTTTCCTTGTCCTGAGAGCAATCTTGGAAAACGAGATAAGCACAAAAGTGGCAAAACAAACCCCATAAATTAGTCAATAAAAATCAAATTCTAAAATTCAAAATCAGCTGAGGATTATAGTCGACAGGTTAGCCAAGAAGGCACTTAAATTTGCACAAAAGAAAGAAACCCACCTGAACTTATGTTAATCAATAATAGCTCATCCTTCTGTAATGTGAGTTAGTGCATAGAGGTCATACCAAACTGATGTACACAATTATCCTCATAAATAATAATGGTATTTTCACATAAAGTTCTTCTTTTTCCCGGGTACAAATAACATCGCTACATCACCTGCAAGATCGTCATCAAAAAGAGAGGGAGAAATGTGCCGCTACTCAAAGGAACACACCATCCATACAATTGTACATACACAATTCTAACTCGCCATTCTCCACTGGCCCTCATGTACTCTCCTTGCTACTGGACGCCTCGAGCTCCTTCTCCTCGCCACCGTCGCTAACCGCCGTCTCGGTTGGAGGCGGGGGCTGGTCGCCACCATCATCAGACTCTTTCTTCAGCTCCGTTTCGAACTCCTTGGCTGCCTGAGTGAATTTGTGTAAATGGGTCAGTGAACCAGTTACAAACCGGAAATAGCATAATCTGCTTTCAAAAGGGTAGTATCACACCGTAACTTGATAAAGTACTGCACAACAGAGTACAACACTGGAAGCCCTTGGAGCATGAAAAGTAGCTTGAGCTATTGGCAAGTGATAATGCGGCTTAATAGTCTATTAGTCTTAGACAGGTACTTAACAAATTATATCAACCTAACAGTAGAAATCTGGAACTGTGGATACCTCTCAACACTAGTGATTTTTTATATCTAAGGATGATCAGAGATGTTCTAATTGTTCAAGTGGTAAAGTTCACCAAATGCTCCCTGAATGCAGCCTTACATGTTTCATCTATAATTCACATTGCATTTCTGATGACATTGCAAAAATGCAAAAAGAAATCTAAACATGTAGACAGAACTGGTCAAGTGAACATGTAGGCTACTCGGAATTAGTTATGTTCTTTCGCTACTTCACCAGACACAAGTGGTTTACATCAGAGGGATCCAGACAGAGGGGTAGCTGATCAGATAATGGAGAACCCAAATGATCAAATGTCAAGCAATTTGATTAGGACCAACATAAAAATAGCGTTAAAGCATGCTCCTACTGATTGCTATGCTTTTGATTGACTGTTCTATTGTATTGTCAAGGATTCAACAAGGAAACAATTCAGTACTATAATCATCTTAAATGCTGTAGCAGGTCCTAAATTTGCTAAATCAAGGTATGCCCAATTTCAACAACCAAAATAAACTGTATTTCAAAATCATTAAATCCATGATCATCTATTTCTAAACAACTGTGTCAATGAAACAGCTAAAACAAATGCACAATAATATGTTACTGTAGCTCTAAACAATTGTGTAACAATGAAACACAAACTTATCTTGTAGAACCCACATTTCCAACTCAAAGCCTACAAAAGGTAGCACATAACATAATTTCATATTCTTCATTCATAAACCCATGTATTTCCCTGAGCCAAATGCCACCTTTTGTGCTGTCACAACATTGGACAATCCACAAACTTCTGACACAAGGAAAAAGTGGCACATAAACAAACCTACAAATCCCAGATTAGCTTCAAAATATACAAAAATGTACTCACAAATCTTTGAGCTAGCGTGATATTCTTCCTATAGACGAAAACACGTAGTGCACTGAAAAGTGACCTGAACGGCTAAACCTCGCGTATGGGCATATTCAAATGGCAGAGTAGTGATGTTCTCTAATCACAAGAATCGTTTCAAATCATCAGAATTGTATCCATGGTTCTCGTTTCTAACATTGCAAATTAGCGCTAACAGAAATTTCGCTCGGAGTAACCTTGAGACCTCATCGTGTCAAGCAATAGGGGAGCAATTAATTGGTAAATTCATATATCTCTAAGCATTAAATCAGCGATTGCTTACCTGCTGGAAGCTCTTGACGGTCTTGCCGATGCTGCGGCCGATCTCGGGCAGCTGCTTGGGGCCGAACACCAGCGCGGCGACGCCCGCGATGACGACCAGCTCCGGGACGCCGAGCCCGAACAGGCACTTGCACCCCATCGCGCCTCCCCCACGCGACCCCGCCCCCGACCCCGCCCTCGTCCGCGCGGCCACCGCCACGGCGAGCCCCCCCGCCCCTCCCGTGACGAAGGAGGACGCCCTCGAGGACATCCCGGCCGCCGCGACGCGTGCCCGGCCCGCCGCCGCCGCCCTCCCCGCAGCCGCACACGGAGGCCGCGCGAGGGTGGAGGAGGAGGAGGAGGACGGGTAGGTCGCGACCGGAGCCATCCCCATGGCGGTGGCGGCGAGCTTAGCTTAGCTGCGGAGGCGGAGAAGGGGATTGCGGCGAAGCAGCGGCCGCGGGCGGATATTTTCGACGGGATAGGCTTAGCGTCGTTTTATGCCACGTGTCACTGTCGTCTCTCACGCTCGGCGACGCGACGCGGGCTGCCCCGTTTGGTCCAGATGGGCTGTTGCCGTTAGCTGCGAGGACGACGCATATGGGTCCCGGCCCATACAGATTTAGGCCTAAATGGGCTCTTGTTGTTGGATTTTTTTTTTCATTTTTATTTTTTTTAATATTTACAGAAATAGACCCTGCAGCCCTCCCCAAGAGCGGCAGGGTGACGTGTGTGAGCCGGCGCTGGAGGCCGCTGAGCAGGTGCATGCGGCGAAAATTGCATTTCACCCACTTGCTGCCCGTGCAGAGGGCGTCAAGGGCACGGCGCCGTGTGCCACGTCACCTTTCCGTCCTCCACTTAGGCGGTAGGGTCTATTTTTTAAATATTTTCGTCGATATAATTTTTCTGTAAATATTTAAAAAAATTAAAAAAGAAAAAAATCCTTGTTGTTGGACAGGTGTGGCCTAGCTAGTATTTGCGCTATTTGTGAAGTGCTTTGGAATTTTGGGGGGCTTCTATGGTCCTGTTTGGGGGAGCTTTAGATTCTGAGAAGCAGCTGTTTGGTAGCCAGCTTCTGAGAATCTGGAAAAGCTCTGAAACACAGTTTCTCCAGCTTCTGGCTTCTTAGTTCATTTTTCAGAATCTATAACTACAGATTCTTAGAAGCTGTGGATTGTTTGAGGTAGCTTCTAGCAGAAGCAGCTTTTGGGAAAAGCTGCAGCTGAGACAAGCTCCCTCTATTACTTCCTAGCTTCTCCATCTAATCCAAACGGACCAGTTTCTTGTACAATCTGAAAAAGCTGGCTTGCAAAAATTAGAAGCTAGGATTTTCAGCTTTTCTCAGCTTCCCGAGATTGTGAGGTTAGAAAGAATCTTTGCTAATGTTAGCAGTACAAATTATTCCCTTGTATTGTTACTTCATGGACGAAATGCTTTGTGATTGATTCCCCAATCTAGAAAAGAAAGGAAATAAGGGCTTCTTTGAGACGTAAGAATTAGTAGTTCGAATCTTGTACAGTTCATGTAAAATTTCTCCATTCCAAGGAGTTAAAGTGTACTGAAAAAACCAGCGCAACTCTAAACGTAATGTTGACAAGTCCACCCATGATTTATCGAGTAATCTGATACTGTTAGCTTATAGCAATGTATATTTTGTGCTCGACACATCCTCTACAGTCTACAGTACTGCATTTGCATTAGGTGTCATCCCATTCAATGTGTGCTTGCTTTCAGACTTGGGATACCAAAACCTCTGCAAATGTTCATCTGTGATTATGACCACCCCTGTTCTTGCATATTATTATGGATCACTCACTGCTCACCAGGGTTGAATCGAATCTTCACTAAGGTGCACGTCCGGAAGCAAATGGACAAAGAGATTCCGGAGTAATAGGGGTGTTCGATATTCTTCTTCCTCTTCATTCATGGTGTTGTTGGACTTTGACACTCCAAAGAAGGTGATACCACTAACTTGATAAGTATCGGTGACTTATCCGGGCAGGGCTCCTGTAGCTAGTATGACACAAAGATGTACCAGGAATAATATTTCTCCTCATCAAATCATTCCCTCGTGCTTAATTATGGGCTTATCTCCTTTCTACAGAGCTTATCATCATCATTAGAGTTCCTTCTTTTCTCTTCTATCTAACTGATTAAAGTCTCCATTCTTCAACACTTACATTAAATTGTTTGAACTTATTGTAACCTCTCATTAAAAGTGGTAGGAGATAATTAAGCACTACTGAAAGTAGTGGATACATAATTTCTTTCAAAAAGTTAAAATGAAAGTGAGGAGCACATTAATATAAGTCCGATACAAAAATAACAATCTTATGTGTGTGCTCTCTTTTGCAATATCTGTCGGTTCAAATTTAAAACATCCGATCATAAGAAACCAAACACAAATGTTTGCCTTCTTTTTCCTGCACACATGCATGTTGTTCCGTTTTTTCCTGCTGCTTCTTTTTTCTTCCCTTCTGACGGCCTAACCGGAAAATTCAGTCAAATACCTGCTCATTTTCATCACTTTACAGGTCAGTTTAATGAGGTTAGCATAGGAAGCTTGTAGCTAACAGCTAGCTCATGGTTTAGACAAATAATTTAGCTGAGATAGACTGCCCATACAAGTTACTTGCTTGTTTTGTCACCAAGCTGCTGGACTGTTCCTGAATTTCCCTGATCGATGTGTTCATGCATGCATGTCAATATCACTACTAGCTTTTTCTTCCCTGGATTTTTACCCCATTAATTAGCCCTAGTCTCCATCTATCCCTGTGTATCTAGCTAGCTACTAGTAGAGAGTAGATACTCCATTGGATGTGCCGATATTTTAACGATTATAAGCAAAACTTTCATATGTTTTCTGAAGTTTTGTCAAGTTCATTTGACTTGGTGCTTCGATGACAATTCTATCAAGCATTTTGATAAGAAATTGAAAGAAGCTGCTACATTGAAAATATGGTCAGCTGCCAGTCACTGTTAAAGACCAAATTTGCTGGCATCATATCTTCCTTCCAATTGATCAATCCAGAGTTGCGATGAACCATTCTATGAACCATCTGAATCGGTTGGCACAGTTTCTTCTCCATTTCCGTTTCTCATTTGCATTTTCTTCCACTTTGAAGAGGAGGCAATCACTTATCGGAATCGATTGCTTCTCTTATTGATCGCGACTTCCACTTTACCAAGATGTTACTCGTCGGCCCGTCGATCTGTCCACCAACCTAATTGGTGGTGTCATGGAACATTAGAAACAGCAACCATGTAACTTTCCCTAACTTTAGCTTAATCAATTAGATGGCATATTCTTTCAGGAAAGCATAGGCATATACAGATATAGGTACGTACACTACTACCACCTTAGTTGTTGGGTGGATGAAAATGATTCTGTCCATGGACAATGATTTAGTGCCCACTAATGGACAGGCACAAAAGAACTAAAAATTGGAAACTAGCTAATATAATACAGAAAATAAAATATTATGGCAGAAATTAACATCGGTGAAACAGGAACTTAATTTAAGTCCTTGTGTTCACTTTGCAAGCCTAGAGAAGCAAATTAAACACTTGATTATGGTATTAATATATAGTAATACTCATATATATATATATATATATATATATATATATATATATATATATATATATATATATATATATATATATATATATATGCATGGTGAATTATTAGCTCTATAAATAGCTCTCTAATAACCAATTAAATAAGGAACAAGCAGAGTCACTCTCAATATTGGAGAGAACTGTGTCTAGGTGGGATTCCGTGGTAACAGTTGCAATTGGATGATTTTTCTTCAGGTTCAGTAGCTATCAGGGAAAAAGAATGACAGTGCATGCAGAATGCAGAATGGAGAGATCTGTTTGAGTTGGACACTGTTTTGTTCAGCATTCACTTAAAGTTAATGACCTTTGTGTGCTTATAGGAAACAGCATGCGCTAGGCTATCAGGAAAACTGTGGTTTACTAACAGTATAGCCTTTTAAGTCCTACGTATTGCTGTTTTATACAGCCTACCTTTGTACTTCTGGTACCACAAATAATTTATAGGTAGAACTTTTATGTATAAGTTCTGCTAATGCTGAAAAACAAATTGTAATGAGAAAAAAAACCCCTCAAAATCAACTCTAAGATTAACTTTCAAAAATCAAATTTCCTCCTCGATTGATAAGGCAACAAGCAAACGATGTGAGGGAATAACCTCTATAGTAATTATTATCACCTTCTGAACACTTGAAAAGTATAAAAACCTAAATGACCATTTTGATTTAGGCCAGTAGGGATGGGACGATCCGTGTGTACGTACCATTGACAACAATCTTGTTGAGCTAAGTGAACTTATTAAATAAATAAATACATAAGACCAATCAGTAAAAGTAAAATTTAGTTGAACTAAAACTAGAATTGTCGAGAATCGAATACCATGGTTCAATAAAATTAAATTTAGTTGAATTAGAATGAGTTAATAATCGAGAGTACCATGGTTCATGCATGGGCAACTCGTGTTCATCACTAAGGCCAATATATGAAGTATTAACACTAACTTCAAGCTTTCACAAATGATCTAGATCCATTCCTACCAACAATTTAGTCACAAAACATCGTAATTAGATTGAACTAACAATCTATAATCTTTGACACAACAATGCCACAAAATCCTACTAATATACATCATCATACATGTGACAAAGTCCATGTCCTACAAAAGAATCCCTTCCTTGTCTTTCTTCCCTCCATCGCAGCCATGCCATGCCATCACCACGTCGTCGCCGAGCTCCGCCCTGAGCTCCTCCCACCCGAACTCCTCGGCACCGCCGTCGCCGTCGCCGTCGTCGCCTCCCTCCAGCCTCAGCTCGACGAGCATCATCGACGGCGACACCTCCGACATCTCCATGGACATGGCGACGAGGCCCGAGAGGCCGCCCAGGGGCAGGCGTTCGACGCCCTTCTTGCCCACCATGAAGTAGCCGAGCTTGGCGCCCGCCTGGCCGAGCCGCTCCACCGTCCGCTCCGGCGACGCCGTCGTCACGAACCGCTTCTCCCGGCGGCGCTTGCTCTCGCCGAACAGCCCGGACAGGTCGAGCCCCGGCGACATGGATATGATGTCGAACGCGTTCAGTGGCGGCGGCGCCTGGAACGCCAGCTCCCGCTCCGGCTGGCCGCCGAGGAGGCTGCCGAGCTGCGAGTCGAGGCTGAGCGAGCGCTTGAACCACGGGTGGGTGGCGAGCTCGGCGACGGCGAGGCGGGTGGCCGGGTTCGGGTCGAGGAGGCGCGACACGAGGCGGCGCGCCGGCTGCGACACCCACCGCGGGAGCGCGTACTCGCGGCGGTGCGCCTTCCGGCACATGTCGGCGATGTTGGAGTCGTCGAACGGCAGGTGGCCGGCGAGGAGGACGAAGAGGATGACGCCGCAGGACCACGCGTCGGCCTTGGCGCCGTCGTAGGCCTTGCGGCGGAGCACCTCGGGCGCCGCGAACGCCGGGGTGCCGCACGCGGTGTGCAGGCGCCCGTCGTCGCGGAGCGAGTCCGGGAGCGCGGCGAGGCCGAAGTCGGAGACCTTGAGGTTGCCGTGTGCGTCGAGGAGCACGTTCTGCGGCTTGACGTCGCGGTGGGACACGCCCCGCGCGTGGCAGTAGATGAGCGCGGACACCAGCTGGAGGAACACCCGCTGCGCGGCGTGCTCGGGGAGGCGGCGCGACGGCAGCGAGGCGAGCCTGGAGAGGAGGTCGCCGCCGGGGGCGAGCTCCATGACGAGGTACACCTTGGAGCGCGTGGCGAGCACCTCGTGGAGGCGGAGGACGTTGGGGTGGCGGAGGCGGCGCATGGCGGCGACCTCGCGGAGGACGCGGGTGGCCATGCCGGCGCCGGCGGCGGCGAGGTCGGGCTTGTCGAGCACCTTGACGGCGACGGGGTCGGCGCCGGGGGCGAGGGAGCGGGCGTGGTAGACCTTGGCGAAGGTGCCGCGGCCGAGGAGGCGGCCGAGCTCGTACTTGCCGAGGAGCGGAGCGCCCTTCTTGGCCGCCTTGCTCTTGGTGGCGGCCATGGCGGGCGCGCGACACCAACAACAAGGCAACACAAAGAAGAGGGCGGCAGCAGCAGCAGCTGGTTACTATGGTGGTGTTGGTTGTATGGTCTGGGTATATAAGGGGGAAGCCGGCCGGGCTGAGTTTGTAATGCTGTTTGGTAAACGTTTTTTAATGCTTATGCATCACTCGTTATTACACTTTCCATCTCAATTATGGACATGATATTCAAATAGACAGATTATTGGGCAGTACGAATTTAGACACATTAAGTACTAGGAGTGTTATATTTTATTATTAGAAATATAAAATATGGATGAGATATACATACTCAATTCATCAAGCCCTATATATTTTACATTTAGAACAAGATCCGAGTAAACCTTTAAAAGTTTGACCATAACTTTTGTACTAAAATAAGTTTATAAAATCTAATAATTAAGTTTACGATAGTATGACTATACTTTTCAAGACCAATCTACACATAACTTCTTCTTAATTTTTAACTAAGCATTTCAAAAACTATTAATATAATTAAAATTATAAATATTTAACTAAATTTTATTCGACAGCAAACATTAAATATTTATAATAAGAGAAAAAAATAATTAAAGTCAAGTAAATTGTTGAATACTCCCACCGTTTCAAAATGTTTGACACTGTTGAATTTTTAGTACATGTTTGACCATTCGTCTTATTCAAAAAATTAAGCAATTATTTATTCTTTTCATATCATTTGATTCATTATTAAATATACTTTCATGTACACATATAGTTTTACAAATTTCACAATTTTTTTTTAAATAAGACGAACGATCAAACATGTGCTAAAAAGGCAACGGTGTCAAACATTTTAAAACGGAGGGAGTAACAGTTACACAATGAGTGTATAGTATACCATCTTCCTTAGATACAACCTCTTAACTAAAATCTAACCTAGGGCCAGTTTGGTTTAGTGCCATACCAAAATCTTGGTAGTGCCAAAGTTTAGGTAACTTTTAGTACTACCAAATTTGGATGGCCAAAACTTTTACTATCTAAGAGATGTGTTGTTAAAATTTGGCACCAATCCAAACAACCAGAAACACTATTAAAAATTGCCAATGAATTGGTAGGGCACAATTTGGAACCAAACCAAACTAGCCCCTAGTTTTCTTCTTGCAATTTCAAGCACAATCATAAATCATACTTATACATCTTTCCCCGTATTAACTCTAAACACTGGCATGTTACTATGCGTATTCTTGTGAAAATCCCTCGTTTTTGGTCTACGGCTAATAAGCCCTTAAAAAATAAAGAAAGTACAATAGGAATAATTTATAAATAAACTTTTGTATCTATGATGAATATATCTCAAAATTAACTATTTCAAATTTTGGATACCGTTGATAAATGAATGAACATGAGAGGTGAACTGCCAAAAATACAACCCACTGATTGTGTTTCATTAATATCCCGATATTTATTCAATTTAGGTCTTTAATTTTAGTTCTGCTTGCACGAACTAGCAGACATGCATTTCGTTGATAATTAGGAGAACACCATTTCTTACACATGCTCAAAATACCAGGAATAATTCTTTTGATCATACAACACATTGACTTATTTCTTGAATAATGATGTATCACTGAATTAATTAATTAATTAATTAAACTAGTTTCTAAATAAAATAAATGAACTAAAGCCTCTTTGGCCCTTGATATTTTGGAGGGACAATGAGACAGGGCAACAAATTATAAGCGGCAGCTAGCAGCAAGTAGTAGTCCAGTAGTGGAGTATGGGTTATGCTGGATCCCAGGTGTACGCGGAGAGCGGGAAAGGGAGGAAGGAACGGGAGGGGGCGTGCAAAAATATCAGGAGGAGATAGCTAAGGTGCAGCTAAGCTAGCGACCCAACGCAACTTCCTTTCCCTCCCTTTGGTCGCGAAAGCGAATCGAAAGCAATGCTCCGATCGATCGATGAATCTACCGCCGTGGCCGTGGGAAAGGAGAATGGATGAGTGTATGGCGCGGCTGGCTCCAGCCTCCTCCGATCCTATGCAGCTATTAGCCGGTGGCGCCATCAATATATATATATCTCAGATATGTCAATGGATCATTCGTCTCGTTTCATTTTCAGATGCATGTGTTGTGTGCACGGCCACGGTGCGCGCGCGTTCGATCGTGTTCCCGTCCCCGCCGGCAACAGGAACCTTACCGATTGGAACGCGTACGGTACACGGGGTGGGATACTTTGCTACCTCAGCTGGACTGCATCTGTGAATTAATTAAGCTAGCCCCGCCGACCTGGGAATTAGTGCAAGTACTATGGACATCCAAGCACAATCTTCTAGGTGCCACGTAAGCTTAAATAGTGAGGTGGAGGAGAGAAGAGATGAGAGAGATAAAGAGCCACCTCTCATGTAAGAGGCAACTGCTACACAAAATTCAAGACAAAAGAAGAGAGAGGAAGAGTAGATTGGGCAAACAACCATTGGGGCTAGTGTATTAGAATTAGTATAGATGTGATATATTGTACATGTTACCTCTATATTTATTGGTTGATGATGTGGTCAAGATTAGATGCAATATCCACCTCTTCTATAAAACTTGCCCTTATGACACAGGCCTATACTAGCTTGTTCTTCTCTACAGCCGGTTTACACCACTTTACAACATATACAATAGCAGACTATAAGCCAGCTATAAACATATTTTTAAGAGATAAAAGAAGAGAGAGAAGAGCAGCATGTTATAGATTTGTAGCCAGCTACACCACGGACTCCAAGATATAATATGTGTATGACAGATGGGACCGGATATTAATAATGTAGTAACCAGCTATTTTATGAATTGGCTATTATATTGGCTATACATGATTTGGAGTTAGTAGTTGGCTATACTATTAAACTTACTCTTATTGTATCCGTTACTTAGAGCAAGATTAATAATACAGCCAGGCTATAAAGTTCTTTACAGTTTTCTCTCAGCCCACCTATATAACAGTTAGCTAATTACAATTAATATATGGCCCACTTGTTTCTCTCGTAGAGTTTATTGGTTCTTATGTCTAAGCCGGCTATAAGTTTACAGTTCGCTTCTCCTCTCTCTCCTCTCTTTTTTCCTCCACCTCAATATTTTGTCGGCTTACAGCCTCCTATTATACTTGCTCTTAGTAGTTAGTAACTAACTAATAGTGCTACAACTAACTCTGTCTGTGCGGGCGTGCACATGTAAATTGCTCACCACATGCAACAGAAACAGATTGAGCCCGTGACCATAGTCCGCTCTGTAATAAATAAACCGTCATGCATGGCCTTATATACTCTGTATAATTAAACGAGCCACTATATATTCTCAACCGTAAAATGGACTATTGAACGTAATTTAAATGAAAATGAGCCACCGCGATAATAGATCAGGGCACATTATTTTTTGTCTTATTTCATCTTTTGGATCTCTTAAGCGTGCATTAAGGGAAATGTACCTCGTGCATGGTTGTGTAGGCGACGTATATATGTATATATATTCATGTGATGCATGGTTTGTGTGTACATGAGCATGTGAAACTTTCGTGTGATGAAAAAAGGACTCTAAAAAGGAAGGAATGGAGTGTGTTTGTTCATTTCTTTTTGAGTGAATTTCTAGTTATAATCTTTTAGATTGTAATCTTGTAATTCTTTCTAACTATATTAATTTAAAATTTTGGACGGTCTACTGTACGGTTCGTTTCGGGAAAAAAAAAGAGACTCCAAAAGGAATAGACATACATGGATGAAACTTAATTAAGGGCCTAAATTGTATTTGTATGTGTAATGTTTGGAGTACGAGCTTGAACACGCACCTTTGACCTTACATTTTATACAGGATAAGGTAAAAAAACTAGCACTTTATATAAGATGGGCTACAAAAGATCTATTATATGAAACCATATTGTTGATTCCACATGCATATATATATATATATATATATATATATATATATATATATATATATATATATATATATATATATATATTATTTGTGTACATTGTAGTACAATTTATGCACTCTCTGGAGTTCTATATAATGGTAATGGTCCAATCAATTGTGTCTTAATTAACTAATGATGCACTAGACAGAAGAAATGAGTAATGAGTCAATTAATTTTGCCGGCTAGATGCACTAAATAGAAGAAATATATTAGTAATAACTTATGTACTAGACAGAAGAAATATAATGACTTATGCAGTGCATTTCTCAGAAAATGCTAACAATAATAATGGCCCACGAGTCAAATAGTTTTGCTGGTTAGATGCATATATATGCACGGAAAGAGTACAATAAATATCACATAAATATATGGGAATCTCATTAATTTGCATAGCTAGGAAATGAGAGAATGAAACTGCATAATTTTATCATCATCTGCCACAATTCATGCATTGCACATGCTTATTGACTTCTTTTTCTTAAAAAAGAAAAACAAAAACTACTAGCTACTCCCCCCGTTTCACAATGTAAGTCATTTTAGCATTTCCCATATTCATATTAATATTAATGAATCTAGACATATATATCTATCTAGATTCATTGATATCAATATGAATGTGGGAAATGCTAGAATGACTTACATTGTGAAACGGAGGAAGTAGTACGTACCGGCAGGTATTTTGTATATTATTTCGTCGAAGGTTGGAATAATGAGTATATATAAGAACGACAGTAGTTAGGATCGATTGTGATTATTTTCGACATGTTAATTCCAACATTGACACGTCCTTCTCCAAAGGCTGTTCATATAAACAAAGACCTTTAATTTGTAGTGTGCGTACGTGCAGCTTGCTTAATTATATATCTAGTGAGGTCGTCCGGTGCGTCATCAGTGTGGCGGCTGCTTTTCTGACATGTTATTTTCGTTCTAGCTAGCTTTTAGTAATTAACTGTAGAACACATCGATTTGCTTTGCTCGAAACTGACGTTGATTAGCAAGAACGAATTGCATTATTGAATATGTCGTGCCCAAAGTGACAAAGAAACGAGAAATTTCAAAAATTTTAATAATTTTAAATTACTTACTAATTTTAGACTTAAATTAAATTTCAGTCTTGTGCTATGTATTATATATGTATACACCATCGCTTCAT